AAAAAAGGTCGTTTTTAACGTTTCGGCGATTTGCTGCATTTTGCTCCTTTATTAATTCGGTCACATTTTGCAGATTTATCATTTGCGAGCATATTGGCCGAGGCGCAATGCACGTGACAGTGACATGCGACTTGACCGGCGCCAGTGTGTTCCCTGTGGAAGTGGACGGCAGCATGGAGATGGAGAATTTCCTCGTAGTTTGTCAGCTTGAGATTCCCGCCTTAAAAGATATCCCAATGTCACAGCTTAATATTACACACAACGGACGTGTTACGGTTATGAATGCGGAAAATCTCAAGAAAACTATAAATGTTAGTTCTGTTCGTTCAGTTTCCGTAACGAATTTGAATCTGGGAACTTGATATAAGCAGCGGGACCTGAGTGGAATAACGATGCAGTGAAAACTTTGTATTCTTTTCATCCAGTTGAGATGAGCATAAATATTGGGAATTTTGCAAAAAACTTTAAATTTAGGCCAACTAAATTTTGTAAAAATTTGTAAATTTAGGTTTATTGAATCCTGTGAAAAATGGATACATAGATTTACCGATTTTTTTATGCGTTTTGTGCTGTGTAACAGCGTTACAAAGCGCATATTGTCACGGGGTGCGTGTGTGTGTGTGTGTGTGTGTGTTGTGTGTATGTGTGTGTGTATGTTTGTGTGTGTGTCCCACATCTTGTCCCGCATTTTCAACTCGAGAACCACAAAAGCTAGGCGGATGAGATTTTGGTATAGTGTTCCCCGCCAACGGGTGACGCGGCAAATTTAAATTCAGCCTTTCCTTACCCGCGGGTAACACGTACGGCCCCGTGAAATTTATTCACGGGTAAGTTAATATTTCGGGAACCATGGAGTCTAGGAGGCTGAAAGTTTAGGGTAATGATCTCCTGCCCACGTTCAACCTTGCCCATTTAAATTCAGCCTTCCCTTACCTGCGGGTAACACGTATGGCCCCGTGAAAATTATTCATGGGTAGGTTAATATTTCGGAAACCACGAAGTCTAAGAGGCTGAAGTTTTAGGGTAATGATCCTTTGCTCACGCTCAACGTTGCCCATTCAAATTCAGCGTTCTCGCGCTCTCGGGTACCACCTACGGCCT